CATTCACTCATTACCAAGCCCAACATCTGTCACTGAGCTACAGCAGTTCCTAGGGATTGTGCAATACATGTCCCCATTTGTACTGAACTTGGCAGAACACACAGACACACTCAGAGCTCTAACCAGAAAAGACTCGGAATGGCAATGGACAGCATCACATCAAACAGCGTTTGAAAAGGTTATGGCACTCATAACAGAAAGCTGTACTCTGACCTATTTCCAACCAAATAAGCCTATAGTTGTCCAAGTAGATGCCTCAATGAAGGGTTTAGGTGCAGCTCTAATCCAGAATGGAAAACCAATTGCCTTTGCCAGCAAAGCCCTAACTGACACAGAAAAGAGGTATGCAAACATTGAGCGTGATTTATTGGCAGTTGTATTTGGCTGTACAAGATTCCACACATATGTATATGGAACCAAATTCACCGTGGAAACTGACCATAAACCACTGGAAAACGTCCAACATAAAAGCCTAGTAAACACTCCGCCAAGACTCCAAAGAATGATGATCCAGCTACAACCATATGATGAGCAAATAACTTACAGACCAGGGAAAGATATGGCACTAGCTGACACAATGTCAAGACTCAACCCATCATATGGCCCTGAGATAGAATTTGATAGAACTATCCACATCATACAGTTTACAGCTGAAAAGCTAGCAGAGATGCAAGAAGAGACCACAGAGATGCAAGAAGAGACCAAACAAAGTGTAACTCTTAAACCCCTAATGGACACCATCATAAACGGATGGCCAGATGAACCAAAGAAGTTACCAAAATGCATCAGAATGTTTTGGTCAAGCAGGGATACATTAGCAACCGAAGATGACCTTATACTACAAGGAAACAGAATACTAATACCAGAGAGACTAAGACCAGGCATCCTGAAAAAGCTCCACATCGACCACCAAGGTATAGTCAAAACCCAACTACGAGCAAAATCATCTGTGTTTTGGCCCGGAATTAACCGTGATATAGAGGATGTGGTCAAAGGCTGCACTGTGTGTCAATCACACATGAAATCACAGCAACCAGAACCATTAATGCAGCACAAAATACCTGAAGGACCTTGGCAAATCGTCGCAGTAGACTTGTTTTATTTTCATGGAGATGAATACCTTGCTGTCGCTGATTACTACTCCAAATTTCCTTCTGTAAAAAAGATTGGAAAACGAAGCACCAGCATGGCAGACATCAAGATGACTAAATCTCTATTCAGTGAGCATGGTATTCCAAACAAAGTTGTAAGTGACAACGGTCCACACTTTAGCAGTACCGAGTTCCGACAATTTGTGAACGAGTGGGGGATTGAACATGTAACATCCAGCCCACACTACCCAAGAAGTAATGGGTTCATTGAAAGAACCATACAAACAGTGAAAAGCACACTATAGAAGTCAAAAGACATATATATATTTGGTGGCGCTGGTGAAGCTGTGGCCCCGCTCTTCTTCTCTTGTTTTTCGATTTTTACCCTCTTAGTTTTCTGCCCTTAGTCTCGATTTTGGTGTTCTGTGCTTTCCCTGTGATTGTTTCAACTGTTTGGTGATTGTCTGTGTTTTATGTGAAGAGTTGAGTGATCTTTTTTATTCTTAATATTTGGACCGAACTGGCTGCACCATGGGACTGTTCAAATCAATGTTCAGTGGCGGGGAAAGAGCGCATCGCGACAATACCACACCATCAACGAAACTAAGGCCTAGGCCGAACACATTTGCTCTAAAACGATTCAGATTCAGAGGCAGACGAGGTGGAAGGAAAATTTTACGAAAGATCAAAGTGTTATGCAACTTCTTTCATAGGTTTGATGAAAGAACTAAAAACTCCAGCGAAATGAGAACTCCGGTAAGAACTACTATTCATTGCATCCAAAAAGAAAATGGCGTCGGTGATGTCGCTAAACTACGGAAGTCTGTCCAACAGCTCCCCACCATTTTGTTATCAAATGCACAGTCATTAATCAACAAACAAGATGAATTACATCTATTATTAAACAAGGAACATGTTGATATTGGAGTCGTTACAGAATCATGGTATTCTGATAACTTGCATAATGATCAAACTTCAGTACCTGGTTATTCGCTTTTCTCAAAAAACCGAGATGACCGATGTATCTGTCGCTCCCGAACTGGAAATTGTTTGGATCAAGATAAAAAACTACAGACAACCTAGGGGACTGTCGCAAATAATTATTTGTGGAATTTACATTGTTACTGATTCAACCCATCAAGGTTTGCTAGAACAACACTTACTTGACACCATGGATCAAGTTTGTTCCAGCTCACCTGACACTGGTTTTTGTCTACTTGGTGATTTTAATCGTATGAAAGTCTGGAATATTCTTAATGGACACAATCTCAAGCAGGTTGTACAATTTAAAACTCGAGGAGAAGCCACGTTGGACCTGATCCTAACGAACATGGAAAATTATTTTTAGCTCCACTTGGTAAAAGTGACCATTCATGCATCCTCTGGAAGCCAATATAAAGATCACCATCAACAATGTAAGAAGGTTAACAGTACGTCCATTTTATCCATCTAGGATATGCAACTTCGGCCGCTGGGCCTCGTCACAGAAATAGGAAGAAGTCAAGAACTGTACAACACCACAAGAAAAAATGGACACTTTTTATGGACTGTTAAACATTGCTATTGATGATTACTTCCCCACCAAAGTGATTAAAACCCACAATACAGACAGACCATAGATTTACGGTCATTTAATTGATAAACGTCAAGCTGCCTATGTAAAAGGTGATTCAGTAGAATGGAGAAAATTTAGAAATATTGTTAAACGTTAAGTTTTAAAGGCTAAACACATATACCATATTCAACGTGTAAAACATTTACAGCATAGTGATCCACATAAGTGGCATAGGTAAATTAAATCTATGACCAATACTCGAAATTCAACTGATCTTAATCTCGTAATACCTGGTATCCCTTCGGCTGATCACTGTGGCATTGCTAATGCAATTAATGACCGTCTCACTAGTGTTGGCGCTAATTTGCCATTGTTAAATTACGGTAAACTTCCTGCATATTTACCTTCAGACAAACC